CCACATCCTTGCCAACACTTGTCATTTCTGTTTTTTTGGTAGCAGCCATCCTAATGGACATGTAGTAATGTATTATTGTGGCTTTGATTTGCATCTCCCTAATGACTAGTAATGTTGAGCATCTTGTGATTCTTACACCAATAATATATATCATTTGAATATCTTCTTTGGATAAATGTCTATTCAAGCTCTTTGCCTGCTTTTGAATTGGGTGATTTGGCTTTTTTGCTGTTCAGATACACTTTTAAAAGCAGTGCCAAGAGCTTCCTGTGCTGAGAGGGAGCAGTGATCAAGCCAGTGGAGGAAGCAAAGGTGAGAGAGCGGAGAGAAAGGTGTGGGGAGAGGGAGAAAGGTCCAAGACGTGCTTTGTGGAGTCGGGGTATGGGCAGGTAGCCCTTAATTCTTTTACTTGGCCACTATTTTTTGAGCACAGCCAGTGAGCAGACCCTTCTCCACGTAGTGCTGTCTACACCTGTTTCCTCCTCTTCTCGGCTCCTCGTGACTCCAGGGATCCTGCCCAGCTGCCGGTGCCCTGCCTCCAGGAGGCTGGGCTCACATAGTTAAGCAGCAGGCTCTGCTCTCAGACTGGCCAGGACCTGAGTCCCTAAAGCTGTGTGCCTTTGGATAGGTTACATGGCGTCCCTGAGCCTCAGCTTCCTCATCTATAAAATGAGGCTAGTAAGAGAAACAAAACATGTACAGTGCACGGCAGACATGCAGCCACATGACAGAGGACCAAAGCAGCTTCTGTCCTCTACCCTACTCCAAATGCTGCTTCCAGCACCTTGACCTGTCCCTCTACAGTGTCCTACAGTGTCCTGATTCATGAGATCACAGCCCCTCCACTCTGGCTGGGTTCTGGTGGCTGCATCTCCTGGGTGCCCTGTGGCCATTTGACAGGTGGACACCTGCTCTGGACAACACTAGCCAGCTGGGAGGCAAGGTCCAGAGCCCTGCAAAAGCAATACTGGAGTGTGAAGAGTCAGGTTTCTGTGGTGAGAGGGGCAAGGACGGAGGCTAGCAAGGCTAGGAAGAAGCCTGGGAGGGCTTCCAAAAGGCGGCAAACTGGAAGCATCCATGTAGAAAATGGGAAGCTTGTAATAATGAGTGAGTCAGGAATTTGGATTTAATGGTTGATATTCTAGGGTCCTGCCTTCCTAGGGAGCTTCTTTGTGCCTCTGCCTGCCCACCCTATTCTGCTGCCCCCGCCTGTACGCCTCCCTGGTCCCCCGCTACCCGTGCCCTCTGCTGCTCTCCCACATGGCCAAGTGAAGTCTGAAGGCAAATCCTGGGGGTTGATGCCTTTGCTTCCTTTTACCCAGAGCACAGCTGACATAAATTGTAATTGTTTCCTCCCTGCCCCCAACCCCACCACCCAATACAAATGCAATTCATGACAGGAGCATGTGTGGCACAGTGCATGGGTGCATGGACCCCGGTCAGGGAGCCAAGTGCAGGTCCTGACGCTATCCCTCATTTGCTGTGCCATCTGGGGCGAGCTGTTCATTCACCAGGCTTCAGTTTTTTCCAGTGCGGGGATAACAAGCCCCTCATGAGGAGCAAATGCTGTAATTCTTAGAGCGTGTTTGCATGGGGCCTGATGCTCACTAAGGACCTGATATTAGCTATTGATAGGATGATATAACACAAAAAGAGGCATTCAGACATCTTCACCCCGCGTTGCAGGGAGTCCTTAGTGGAGAATTCTAGGGTGAGTGCACCCTCTGCTGCCGAGGCTCATCTCTCACAGTATTGGCAGCCCACCTGCCTCTGCCCAGGCCCAGTGGACAGCAGGGAGGGACTGGGCCTGGTTTCTCTGGCTCTGTCAGGGCCTGGCCCATGGTGGCTGAGAGGAGGACTGGGCCACAGGTCAACAGGCAGGGCTACTGACATGTTCCCAGAGTGGGCTGGGGTGGGAGGTCGGGCAGGCGGGGGAGTCAGCAGGCCTGTCAGTCATGACTCACATCATGACAAAGAGCAAAGCTAGAGGGAAAACCAAGTTGGGCCCCAAAATATGTTTTTAGAAATGACCTGGTGAGAAACTTAAGAGAGGTGGTGAACAGGGCCCTCAAGAGGAGCGGCAGGACCTCTCACTTTAATAACACCCGCACACACACCATCAATGGTAACCATTTACTGAGCACTTCCTATATGCCAGCACCACAACTAACACTTTATGTGCGTTATCTCATTAAATCCTTTAACCAGCTGTGTGAAGTGATTGTTGTTATTCCCCTTTAGAAGAGGAAACAGAGGCTCAGAAGTTAATTAAATCTCTTGCCGAAGGCAACTCAGAGGCGGAGCCAGAACTAAGTCCTTGCTCTCAAAAAGACCAAGCAGCTGGTCCAGGGAATGAGGAGGTCTGTGGACACAAGACCACCCTCACTCTAGCTTTCCAGACCGGCCTTTTCGGTGAGCGATGCGCCGCTGCTATCTCCCAAGCTGAACAACAACACAGAACCACCTCTGCGGCCTGGACTCCCTGCGCAGTACCCCTCCCAAGGCTGCTCTGCCAGCTCCGACTTCCTCTTCCGGCTGCAGACGCCTCTGGGTGCTGGGCTCAGGGATGCTGGGGCCCAGAAGGAGGCCTGCATCCTGGCTGGGACTCTAGCGCTGGAGGTTAACTTGATTCCTCTCCCTCAGTGACCAGGCGCTCCAGGGCTTGTGCATGGTGGCTCAGCCCACCTGCCTTCGGTGCCCCACAGTGCCTGCAAACAAGTGCTGGCCAGCCTCTTGCCCTCCTGTCCCCAGTTCATGACCTCTCTAAACCTGCAGCAGCCCTTTGGGGCTCACTTCATCAGGACCAGGTAAGAACAAACCTGCTTTTCTATTTCCTGGGGGCTAAACCTGTGTTGACAACAGAAACTATAATCTCTTTAAGGTCAACACTTCCCACCCTCCACCCCAGTGTTGCCCATGGAATGGGGCAGCCCAGCACAGAGGGCAGAGAGTGGGCACCAATTGGGTGTGAATCTACTTCCTGCTGTGACCTTGGGCAAGTGACCTGACCTCTTTAATAAGCTTCGGGCCTCATCAGGGAAAGGGGATAATGAGGGCTCTTCCTCATAGGGTTGTTGTGCAGGTAAAGGGGTTCACCAAAGAGAAGTGTACTTAGTACAAGGCCCTGGACCCCAAGTGGGCGCAATAAATGATAGTGTTTGCCAGTGATGACAGACAGAGCTCCCTCCCGGGAACAGCCTTGCCTGACTACCTTGTTTAAAGCAGGACTCATTTTTGTCTTATAGCACTGTGTCCTTTCTCTTCAGAAGCATTCAGCCCAGTTTGTAATTATACACGTATTTGTTTACTTGTCCATAAGAACAGGACTGTTTTCCACTGCTGGGTCCCTAGCACAAGGGCAGGAACACAGTAAATGTTAAGGGAATGAATGAAAACCCCTCCTCACTCTTCCTCAGGCAGAGCAGGACTAAGACTTTCTGCTTTTTTTCAGAGGACGTGGCTTTCAGAGCCCCTTATATTCCGCAGTCCCATTCCAGGGCAGTCCTGCAGCTGGTGCAGCCGGAAGGGCTGGGTACTACTTGCAGCCACAGAACAGCTGGGTCAGAATAGTGGGGTGGAGCCCCAAGCTGGGTCTGACGCTCACCTGGTTGGCCATGGTCCTTGGTGGATGACGGGTCATTCTGGGACTGCTTCTGCCTTCTACGCATCTGTGGCTGTTCAATGTGTGGCCTCACAGCCACAGTCCCCACCAGAGCCCCATACGAGCCCCCTCTCACCTGAGGCCTGGTCAGACTTTCAGGAGAGGCGCCTCTGCCTCCCACTTCCCTTCAGTCCCACCTCCGTCTAGGTATCTCCTGCCTCCTGCCCTCAGCTGAGACCAGGGCCCCCTGGCCTTGGCAGATGTGTGAGGCTGGGGGAGGCACTCTGAGTCCAGATGTGATTGTGTTTATGTTTCCAGAGAGTGAGGGGTCCGAGCTCAGGACTGGAGCCGTTGGGGGAGGGGTGGTCAGACTCCAGCCCCCAACCCCAGCCTCCCCTTCTCCCAACCCCCTCCTCCAACCTGGCATCTGGCCCTGTCTTTCTCAGAAACCCACACTCCAAGTCCTACAGTGTCAGGCTGGGCCATCCTCCAGGAGGGACCCTTCCTTATGCCTCATCTGAAGGCGAGAAACCAGTGGAAAGATGCCTGTCTGGAATCTAAAGACTATTCACTCTGTGTGACCTCCACCCAGTTGCGCTGTGCGATGTAGCCTCAGTTCTATTATCTGTATAATAGGCACAACGCTTCTGACCTCAGTGGCAGTGTTGACTTGGTTTGAGAATGTGTGTCCAGGGCTCTCCAGCTTTTGGTTCATGGCTCAGCCTGAACTCCCAGCTAGGACTTGCCTGGGTCCAGCTCCAGGGCAGTGCCAATCCTAGTCACAAGGTGATTCTAAAGCAGAACACCAACCCCTCCTTCCTCACCTGCTGCGGCTTCAAACACTTTGTTCTGCCATTACAAGTGACTTACTTAAGGGAAGCAGAATTTTACATGCAGTTTACAGGCTGGTCTTGTTCAGTAGTTTCCAAAAGTCCTGGCTGGACTCTGGCTGATTCAACACCCACAGTCCTCCTGAAGCAGCCAGGGCAGGGCTCCAAAGGGGGGGCGGTACCGGGACCCCAGGAGAAAAGGCAACCCCAGGCCTAATGAGGCTCTCCAGGGCCCCCACCCCAACGCTCCCAGCAGACAAAGGCAGTTCAGCACCCTGAGGACTTTGAGGACCACTGCAGACCCGCTTGGGAAGAGCCTGCAGAGAACAGCTGCCGGTGTGGGGAAGGGGGTCTCAGCGAGGGCGGCGCAATCGCCCAGAGGCTGAGCGGTGGATGCAGTGGGCACCTGGAGCAGCTCGGGGAGGCAGTGGGGCTGAGCAGGTCCGGCATCGTGGAGAAGTGCGATCCCCGCCTTGGCTATTCCCTCGTACTGGAAGGGCAGGGGGTGGCCCAGATCTTTCCCTACCCGCCTCCCTCAGCCAAATGAAGCAGTCAAGTCTCAGCAGTGGTTAGCACGCTTGTACTATGCTTTTAATAGACGTACATGGACAAGTCGATATAGACAGATTTATAATTCTATAGTCAGTCCGACATACACAGGGACGCTGTAAACAGGGGCGCGGGCCGGAGAGCGGGTGTGCAAAGTGGGCGCGGGCCGGACCGTGGCCGCGCCCGAGCTCTCCCGGCCCGACTCTTGCGCGGCGGGCGGTGAGGAAGGGGCTCTTCGCCGGGACAAGCGGGGGGGACCTCCTAGCCCAGGAGCGGAGCGGAGGGCCCGGAGCCTGCGCGAAGCTCTGGGGCTGAGCGCTCGGACGGGAGCCTACCTCACTCCCCGCGCCACGTCCCCACCACCAGCTGCGGCTCGTTGGCCTTAAAATAGGATTCCGGGCGCAGCGAGGCAAGGGCTCTTTGGGGCACGCCGGGGCCGCAAGCAGCTCCACGGCGGGTTCCTGATCCCGGGCTGGGTACGGCCAGCCCCGACCCAACGCCTGCTCCAACTCGGATCCGAACTGAGCTAAGGTACGCTCGTCCGGGCCAGCTTGGAGGGGACGTCGAGGTTCGCCCCCGGCTGGGGACAGGAATGCCTGGGCCCCGCGCGTCCAGTTCGCAGGCGCGGCCGCTCAATCCGGGTCCGGCGCGGCGGGGACACGGGCTCAGACGGCGTTCTCCCCGGGCCGCCGGCCTCGGCGCGCCAGCGCCGCGTCCCCTCCGCGGAATGGCCCGCTGGGGCCCTAGGGAGAGAACACACACCATCCGCGCCATCCCGAGGGAAATTGCAACTCATCCGTTTTTTCGCAGCACTTTTCTCCGACATCTTTTTTTTTCTTTCTTTTGTCTCGTTTTGGAGAGCAGAGTGGGGTCCATGAAAGCGAACACGAAACCAACCCGTGGGTGGGGAGGTGGGGGGTGGGCTGCGCAGGCACGAGGGCTGCGGCGCGGCGCCCGAGGACCCCGTGCGTCCTCCGCGCCCGCCCGCCCGGCGCCGAGCCGGCCGCCGGCCCGCGAGGCCTGGCGGGGCGGTCAGCTGTTGTACTGGCACGCGTTGAGGCCCGACGCCGGGCCCTGCAGGCCTCCATAGCCGAACGACGAGTGCTGCTTGGACTTCAGCCTCAGGCTGGCGAGGCTCGAGTTGCACGTGTCCCGGTAGACGCTGTAGGGCGAGGCGGGCGCGCCGTACGGGCAGGCGCCCGGCGACATGGCCGAGTTAAGCGAGGAGCCGGTGAGGTTGTTGATGTTGTTGAGGCCCGAGTTGGGCATGCCGGGCACGGCGCCCGGGCCCATGCTCGACGGCATGGTCATGGAGGAGATGGAACTGGGCGCCGAGAACATGGACTGCGACGACAGCGGGCTCATGGAGTTGAAGAAGGTGAAGCTCTTGGTGGAGAGCGGCGCTGGCGCCAGGCTCTTGGCGGCCCAGTTGTTGTAGGAGTAGCCGGCGGCGTACACGTCCTCGTAGGGTTGCACCAGGCCGCTGAACTGCGGCACGTAGCCGCCTTTGCACAGGTCCAGCTGCTGGTTGCGCTCGCGCTTCCGCCACTTGGCTCGCCGGTTCTTGAACCAGACCTGCGGGAGGCGGGCAGGAGAAGGGTCAGCGCCACCGAGGGCGGGAAGGCCCCCCACCCCCACCGCCACCCCCACCCCCACACGGAGCCCCCCGCCGAGCTTCCTTAAGAGTATTATTTCTTTTCTTCAATATTTCCTCCCCTGCCATCTCTCCGTAATGTTCCTGTGTCCAGAAAATACTAGTCTTTTCCTTTTATTGATCTTTGTCCTCTTCCCCAAATTAAATCATTTTTCTTCTCCTAAAACGGATCCTGTTTTGTTTTAACAAATATTCGTTTTCTTTCTTTCTCTCTCAATCAGTCGATCTTTGGCTTTCTCCCCCAAACGGGTCCCCAGCTTTGCCCTAAATATTCCCTCCTTTTTCTTCTCCCGCTAATACAAACGTATTTTTCTTCCCTGAAACATAGGACCTTCCTACTTTCCCCATTCTTCAATCTTTCAGTCCTCAAATAGTGTTTCCATGTTTACTGGTAATAATTGACATTCTTATTTCTGCCCTAAATGTTTATTTTCGTCTGGTCCACGCCGCTATTTGAACCGCTTTCTTCTCAATCAGTTTTCTTCATTATACATTTTTGGGCCTTTTGATTCTACCCCAAATATTTAGATTTTTTTCCCATTTTTCCCCAAATATGTGACCTTAACTGTTTTTCTTAAACAATTCTTTATTTTTTCTCAAATACTTGATCCGTTTGCTTCTTCCTTAAATATTTAATTTCTTTTCTGCTGCCTAAATATACGCCAAACATGTTTCTCTGCAAATATTTAATTTCATTTCACTTCTTACTAGTTTCTCTCTAATCTTTCCCCGACAAAATTCAGTAAAAACGTCTTCTTTCCCAACCCCTGGTCCTTGCCGATCCTCACGTACCCTCCCACTGCACGCCCTTTACCCTCCCCAGCTTCCTCCAGCCCTGGGCTGTTTTCAGAAGCCCTCTTGCCAGACCCCTGCATCGCAGCCTTTTCCAGTCTCGGGCACTAACAGTGCAGGATGCCACCCCCACACCGCCCATACCACCATAAACCCCGGCGGGATTAGTGAGTTCAGGACTACTGAGAGCTGTCTTACTCCATGTCCCACTGGGCTGGCCAGCCTAACTGGGGAGAGAGCTGGGGTTATAGCTGGGAGTCTGTGGGCCGGGTGGGACTTCGGTCTGGCTTGGAACATGCTCCAATATCTGATTAAATATTTGTGCTTCCAGGGAAGAAACGATCCTCTTGCTGCTCTGGCACGGAAGCCTGGGGACCAAAGAGTGAGGAGAGGGAGGGTGCAGTCTGGTCTTGGGTGGGAGACCTTACCCCTCTGGAGGGACTCGGCTGAGGATCACTCTTCACTAGAGCTGCCCGCCTCTCACCTGCCCCAGCCTACAGGAAAGGGCATTAGGGAAAGCGGCCAGCTACTGACTGGCTGAACGGCAGGAGAGGGTCAGGTGGAGAATATCCTGAGATTTTGGAGAAGCTGGCTGCTGATGGGACCACTGCCTCAGGAAGTTTTGAGACCCCCCCAAAGCCTAGGCACCTTTCAGGCCTCTCCCAGGCTGCCAAGCAGGACCCGCCTTTCCCTTTCGTTTTCAGGGGAAGGCGCCAGCAGCCCCGAGGTCCCTATGCCCATTGTAGGGTGATAACATCCGAGTGGGCTCTGGGCACTACAGGGCACAGGAAGTACCCCTGCAGCCACAGATCTTTCTGCTGTGGCTGCGGTAGAGCCCCCGGGATGCAGGTCAGAGGGATGGCAGGCGGCAGCAGCCGAGGGGCGCTAGCGGTCAAGGGCTTAATAGCAGCAGGGTCGACTGGGGCCTAAGGTGGAATCTCCTCCGGTGAAGGGAGAGAGCAGGTCTGAGTGGTGGGCAAGACAAAGTCTGAGCGCGGCCTCAACTTTCAAGGGCTGCGGCAGAGGCGACAGGCACCCTCACCGCGGATCGCGGATCCCCTTAGGCGCGCGCCCGGAGCTTACCCTCACGCGCGGCTCGGTGAGGTTGGTCCACACAGCGATCTCCTCCCGCATGCTCATGTCGGGGTAGCGGTTCCTCTGGAACGTGGCCTCCAGCTCTTGCAACTGCTGGCTCGTGAAGTGCGTACGTTGCCGCCGCTGCTTCTTCTTCTTGGCGGGGTCCTCTGCACCGCCGCAGCCCGCGCCACCCGCACCGCTGTCCTCCGGCCCCTTGGGTTCCCCGCTGCGCTCCTTCTCTGAAGCAAGCAGGATCAGTGGCCAGTCACCTCCGGCTTATGCCCTTTTGCACCCCGTCCCGGCTCCACCGAAGCGCCTGCCTTCAGCGCTGGCAGCCCTCCCTCCAGCCAGGGGCCCTGGATCGTCCCTAGTGGTAAGAGTCCTTCGGGTGCTGGTCCTCAGCAGTCACCTCTGGCCTCGCGTGCCCCGGAGAAAAGCCTAGCGGCCGGGGCCGCGGACCTATGTTCTTGGCCGGGCAGGGCCTGCTCTGGCAGCCTGGCTCAGGCTGCAGCCCAACTGCTGGATGTCAACCACAAAGGTATGGCTTTTGTTTTTGTTTTTTGTGGTCTCTTGGGGGTCTCAATCTGAGATCTCTGCTTTTCTAACTATGATCAAATCCTTCTAGCCTGAAGCTAGCAGGTTGGTGGAGCAAGAGACAGGCAGTGGTCTGTAGCCCCTCCACTTTTTTTCTTCCCAGGGCTGTGTGGGAGTCTCGCTGAGCAGGCACCACACAGCCAGGTTCTCGGCCTTAGCTCCAGGCCTCAAGTTCCAAGGCCCAGAAAATAGCTCCTGGGGCAGCTCGGACGACAGAATCAGTTTAGGTGACCTGGGGCTCTAGCCTCTCTCTTTCAAGCTACACAAAACACATGCAGTCATAGAAATATTGAAACATAAAAAAAGAATTAAAAAATGAAACACAGAAGCCCAGAAAAACTCACAAGCTCTATGCCTAAAAACACGGAAAGGGTCACAAACTCTTAAAAATAGGCAGGTAGCAACACAGAGCAAATGTAAATTAAGAAGCCAGAAACGACGGTGCAAATACACCTCTAACTCCTGTACGCTACGCATGTAAACTTCAGGCAGACACAGGCATTTATTTCTATGGGATTAAAAAAAAATCAATGTACTGTTGCATATAGATATTTTAACCCTTTCCAGTAATGCCCTTCTAGAGATAATTTTTAAATCTTAGGGAAATACAAACACTATAGTTAGATAACTTAAATTTCCAAAATAACACCACAGTGAATGGATTTTGAGAAAAATCGGGAGAAACGCGCCATTTTGGATTGACTTTAAAAAATCTCCTGAAGAATAATGTTTCATTTAGATATTTTAGACTCCAGAGAAATATACCTAGTATAGTAATTCTCTCTGTTTCGAAAAATAAAGCTAAAATTTAAAATTTATCTTCAGATATTTGGTTTTAAAAAGCAATCTGTTACTGTGTATTTCCTGGGTTTTAAAAGTAAAAATCAAAGGCCACGCAACTTTTGAAAACAAAAGTACAGCCCAGCATTGTATTTTAACCAGGGAAACAGAACCCTTCAAAGAAAGTCACTTAGGGATGCAAAACAGAAACAAATAGAGATTAAAAGTGTAGGGGAACACTCAGCGGTGGATTAAGAAATGAACGCAGAAGAGGCGCCCTCGGCGCGGAGAGTGGGGAGCTCTGCGGCGCCGGCGCCGATAGGACGGCGAGTGCGGGAGCCTTTCCGGGACCCTGGAGGCCGGGCCGGGCGGAGAGTAGCAGTGCCACTGCCCGTGCTGCCCACCTCCCGCCCAGCTTGCGGCCCAGAAAAAAGGCTTGAGCTCGGACAAAAAAGCAACGGGGAGGAGGACGTGCCCGAGCCGACTCAGAGCCCTGGCTGGGCAGTCCGGCGGCTCCCGGCTCCCGCGGCGGGCGTGAGGCCGGGATCCCTTGTTTGGGGGGTCCTGCCTGGAGCCGGGCAGCGCCCCTTGGCCCGCTATCGCTGCCCTGACCTCCTTTACTTTAGGTTTTCTTCCCCCTTACCCCCCGCGCCCAGTCTGCTTTCCTGCCTTTCCCCGCCACCCCTTCTCGTCGGTCTCTCCCTCTGAGTCTGTCGCCTGCGATCTGTCGGGGTGTCTGGGCCCCTGTCTGTCTCCCTGGGCAATTTCTCTCGCCCGCCGCCCATTTCCCTCTGGATCTACCGCTCTCCTTCGGCCGGGAGGCGCTAGGTCCCCCAAAGCGCAAACCTGACTCTTTTTCCCGTTCTCTTTGCTCCTGCTCAAGAGGGGCTGTCAGTGTGACCCTCTGGCTGTAGGTTCGTGCCTCTGCCGGTCTCCCTGCGCGTGGGAACCTCGTGGAAGTGCCTCCGTAAAGCGCTAGGCTGCTGCTTCCCAGAGCGTGTAAGTTTCCGCGTTCATCCCCAGGCGGAGAATGGGACAAGGAAGGGTCCTGACGCTTCTGGGGCGTGGAGGGAGCCCGGCCGTGCGGCGCGGGCGGCCAGGCCCTGCCCCCGGCTCCCTGCGCCCTCGCGGGCAGCCGCGCTTACCTGGCAGCTCCGTGTCGGACGACTCGCTGGCGGAGTTCTCGAGCGGCTCGCGGGGGTCGGTGGCGCGGGCCAGGTGGAACGCGGGCCCCATGTCATGCGGCGGCGGCGGCGGCCGGAGGCCCTCCGGCAACCGCTCCAGGCTCATGCCCCCCTTGAAGGCGTCCATGGAGGCGGGACCGCGGCGGGCGCTCCAGGGGCCGGGGCTGGGCGCGCCCGGCCGCCCTGGCTGCGACCTGCGGGGACAAGAGCACAGCGCCTAAGCGGCTGCCTCCCGGGGCTGCCCGAGCCCGCAGCGACGCCGCGCCCGCCCCATGGACCGCCCGGGGCTGCGGGGCCAGGCGGGCGGCAGCGGCCGCGGTTTCTCGCGCCCGGGCGCCCGGTTTCGAGCTCTGCGCTGCGCTCCGGCCGCTTGGGCCTGAGCCGCCCGCCCGGCCCCGGCTCCGGCTCCCGATCCGGGGCCGGTTTCTAAGGCTCCGGACCGCGCCGGCAGAGTCTGTCTTAAAGCGACAGCGCGCACCGCCAGGTTCCAGCAGTCCCTGCGCCAGGGGTGGTGGGTGGGGTGGGCTGGGGTGGGAGGGGGCTGGGGAGGAGGGAGCGAGCAAGGGAGCGCGGGCGGAATCCAGCTCCGAGCCGCCCGCCCTCCTCCTCCCTCCCCCTCTGCAGCCACCTTCCCGCCGCCTCCCCGCCACCCCCACCCCACCCGCGGCCTCGCCGATCCTCTCCCTCCTTCCCCGGTGACACACCGAGTTTTCCCTGGGCCGCACAAAAGAAACGCATCTGGCCTGCAAGTCCCGCGCGGCTCGTGCCCACCTCAAGCCCCAAATGACTTGTTTTGCTAAGAATCAACTCCTGTCTGGGCCGCCTCGAAGTCCCCAGCTTCTGGCGAGAACAGCCCAGGGTGAGTGAATGTGCACCGAGCAGGAGCCTCCCAGCCAGCGCCAGGGCGGGGGCAGAGCCCCGGGCCCGTTCCGGCAGCTCCCAGCGGCGTCCTGGTCGAGGGGCCGTCGGCCCCTCCTTCTTCGGCCTCTTCTCCCGGGACCTGAGCGCGGCTGAGTGACAGCAGCCTGTGCTCTAATGGGCCCCCGGATGCTGCCTCCTAATTAGCTTGGACCCACTCCTCTAGGGCTGCTTCTCGGGCCTCCCCTTCTGCACCGCAGTCAATTTTCCGGGATTGGCATAGAACTGATGGCTTCTAATCAGACGAAACGTTTCTGTTGGCTCCAGGCCTCTGGCGAGTGCAGCAGGAGACCCCAAGAGCCCACCAGGCCCTGCAGCCTCTTCCATAGGGCTGTCTCTCCATTTTTTTGCACCTTCCGCGTCTGACCAACTTGGCCAAGCTCTTGGGCCTTGGCAGCCAAGGGGGTGGGTCTCTGCCCCCTTCAGGGCAGGTTTGAAGTGACCTAGGGCCTCTGCTTTGGCTTCATGGAGCTGCAGGCACCTGGCCTGCCAGGCCAGGTGACTGCAGTTTCCTTACCCTCAACCAAACCTACCCTCTTGGGTTGTGAAGCTTCTCTCCCAGACAGGTAGCTAAGTTGAAACACCAGTGGGCCCTTCATGGACACAGGCAAGGACATTGCTCTCCCCACCCCTAAGAATGATCCCCTCCTTGAGTCCTACTTCAGTGAAGTTTGTTGAAGGATTTTGCTCAACAATTGTTAACTGGCTGAGACCACAGAGTCTTGAACAAATAGGTGATAGCTGGGGTGGTAAGGTGTGACCCTGACCTATTCCTCTGGCTACAGTTGGACCCCAGGCTGCCCTGTGCCCCTCATCTGCTGACCAGCTTTACCAGATAGGCGCAGTGCTGGGCTGGGCTGCCGCCTGGGGGAGAAGCACTGCATTACTGTCCAGGCCCAGCACCTCAGCACAGGACCTAGTGCCTACTCACCTCCCCACCAGGGGCTCTGCTTGGGACTGCCTGTGCAGGCTCTCGGCATCTGGGGTGTTCTGCAGGCACTGCCTTCAGGCTCTCACTGTGGTTCCCCATCAGAGGGAGGCACCCCAGTCCCGGGCTGAGCTCTTTGGTGGGGATTGCAGGGGCAGGGGCAGGCGCAGGATGGAACCAGGCCTGCCTCTCATTCCCTTGGTCTCAGCTCAAGGCCTCCAGCTCTAGGCCCTGGGGAGAAGGCACGGTCTACAGCGCCTGGCCCACTCTCACTGGGTACCTGTGACCACAGTGGTCAGGGTCAGAGGCTGAGGCCAGAGGGAGGATGCATCCTATGAGTTTGGGCTGGAGATGCTCAACTCCTGCCCTTTCTCCACAAAGGGATGTTTCTTAAAGATAAAACCCCCAGGATGCAATAGTCTTGGTGTGTGTGTGTGGGGGTGGGGTGGGAGGGTGGCAGGAGTGGGACATTGGGAAAGTATGATTGCCCAGCATTTGCCCTTAGCCCCATCTTTTGCCACATTCTTGGCCGAGTCTACAAAACCAGCAGATAGCTCCTTTCCAGGAGGAAGCCAGGTGCTGCTGAAGCCAGCGAGCACACCTTCACATACCACCTTCAGCGCAGCTGCTTTTCCTGGGCAGCACAGTGTGCCACCTAGCCTGCCTGGATACAGCCAGGGCACAGGAGCATGCATGAGCACATGTGTACTGCATACACACACAGGTGTGCTGTGTACACACAGACACAGATATGGACACGGCACTCATGTATGGCAGTGCTGAGTATAGTCACATATGTGTACACAGAGCCATGCCTCTGGGTCTCAGAATGCTGTTGATGTTTGGCACAAAATCAGTTTGATAGGAGGTGTGTTCTAAGTCCTCCAAGTGTTAGGCCAAGGTGAGAAGCACAGTACCCCCTAGGTGGGGACAGGGAATGAATGGTCTGCCTATGGGCTTCTGGAAATTGAAGGTCATGCTCTCCATTCCCCAGAGGGTGCTCAGAGTCCTGGGGACTGTTTTGTGACTCTGCAGCTCTAGTTATTCATTTTGAGGGGCTTGCATCTCTCATTGTTGATTCATTTAATGCAGTTATTGAGCACCTGCTGTGTGCCCCTCCGGATCTAAGCCTCAGGCAGTGCTCCAGGCCGTCACAATAGGCCCTGTATTTGGAAATCTTGTTGCTTGCTGGGTGGATGGAAAGGCAATTAAACTATTGTGGGTGAACCTGTGCCCCAGAGATGGGCTGAGATTAGTGGGGACTGTCCAGGAGAGTCTGTTCTGCTGGACTGTGGTGGCACTGAATGAGCAGGGGGGTGAAGAAGTGAATAGTCGAGAGGAGGCCCTGGCCTGATTGTGGGTGTTGGCTGGAGAAGGGACCTGCGTGCTTTGCTTTCTCTCTCATTTCCCCACCACACCCTCCCTCCACTGGTCCCTATTCCACACAGGGTAGGGGCTTCTTCACACTCACAGATATGTCACAAATACACAGGATAGGAGGCAGCTCTCTTTCAGGACTAACAGCAGGGGTTCAGTGTTCCCCTAGTTTTGCTGTGTGACCTTGGGCGAGGCTTGATCTGCATTCAGTTCCCAGGTCTGACATGGGACACAGCAAACCTTGTTTGCTGCTTCAGCTTCCAGCTCACTTGACAATGGGACATGAGGAGAGGACAGAATGGGGCTTATTGGAGCTGGACCCATGTGTGCTAGTCCTCATTCCTCCCGACACACAGAGCTAGCAGTGATTCTGTGACTTTCGGGGAAATTAAGGGCTTTGAGTCCTGGCTTGGTTGAGCAGAGGAGCCTGGTGTGGTGGAGGTTGAAGCAGTCACCATAGGGACCCTTCCTGAGGCTGAGCTCACTCAAAACAGACCCTGTGCTGAGGAATGGTTCAGTAATTTTATTTGGAATGGGTGGTTGGAGGGTCCTCATGCAGGGCATCTTCCTCCCACTTATGGGGGTACCGTGCCCTAATCTTTGCACCAGAATCAAGGGATTTTAGGAAGAGGGAAGGAATGTGCCATGGTTTGCCCCTGGGGCCATCCATGGCTCTCCGGGAAATTCCAGCCCTAAGCCTCTTAGGCCTCCAAGAAGTTCAAACTAGAAAACCCAGTTTTGGGAGTACAGCCGGGACCACCTACCTACCTCCTTCTGTCTGATCTAACACCCCCTCCCCAATTAAAGCTCTTATTTCTTGTAATATAAGCAATTACAGGAAAGGGAGGAAAAGGGTGCTTAGGTAGCTGCTGGGAACCATCTCACTGGGTTCTTCAGGCTTCCAAGGACCCGAGCCTGAGGCTTCCTGTCATTTGGGGGTTCCCTGCCCCGTCCCGGTGGGGAGAGCTAGGATGCACTCGGGCAGTGGGGCGCCTCTGGCAGCATGGAGGTGTAACTCTCAGTTCAGCAGCTGTCTGGGCCCATTGCTCTCTGGCGCAGGGCTTACCAGGTTTGCTGTTTGTTAGATGGTTCTGGAGAATGGCTGAGGTGCAGGGTAGCGGGGTGGAGAGTCGGGGGAGAGAAGGCTCGGAAAGTGGCAGCTCTGGTCACACAACTGGGGAGCAGAGGGTCAACTTGTGCTGTACCACAGCCTCCTCTTCTCAGCAGCTGCTTTCCCGAGAGAAGGACACACTCAGCTGGCTGGAAGGCCAACGAGTTCTGCCCCTACTTGCGGAGTCCAGTCAGCCTGGTCTCCACGCCCCGGCCCAGCTCTTTTCTTTTCAGAGCAAAGCAGTCTGGGGAAGGGGCAGAGGGCCAGCAAGCCCGGCTCCTGTGCTGCCCTGCTGCCTGCACCTTTCACCATTATTAGACCCGAGTCCTTCGCCAAGTGGACAGCAACCTGGGATTGCCTCTCTCTGGCCCTGGTGGTTGTCAGAGGCCACTGGGATGCTAAGAGAATACCCAAGCCTTAGTTTCTCAGAAAAATTGATTCAAATATTTTTAGATTCAGTGAATTACTAAATAAGGAAACCTTGTTATCAGGATTCCAGCCTGGGGTTCCCATCACTGCCTGCCATCCCGGCTTTGGGGGCGCTCACTTTACCAGGACCGAATCGGCTCAGATTTAGGTGGACGGTCAATTTCAGAATTCCGAGACCCGGTTCTAGAGAAGCGGCTGTGTGCTCGGTCACCCTACGTCAAGTAAACCCCGGAGAGGCTGCGGGAATATCTTCACTGGGTTTTGCAAAGAGCATTTGGGGGGTTCTCTCAGCGTAAGGGAAAGGGCGACCCGTGCGCGGCGAGGCGGCAGGACGCCGTGGGCTACGGCCGCCTCCGAGCCCTGCGGCGGGACGTCGGGGTACGCGGCGAAGAGAGCCGGGGTCCCGGCCGATGTCTGCCGCTTTGCTGAGGCATAGGTGCCCGAACGAACGAATTAACGAACGAATGAAGTGGTTTCGTTTAGGAAAAAAACCCCTCCTGATGCGAAGCTAAGGCCTAAGTCCCCAGGCAGGTAGAGGGGCCAGCACTTTCGCTCGTGCTGGGGCCCCCATTGCTGGGCACAGCCTGGAGCGGCGGGCGGCCCCCCTGCCTGCTCTTTCCCACAGAGGGTCCCAGCGGCCCGCACCGCCCCCAGGGGCTGGGAAGGGGGCCCGGGCTGTGCCCCTTGCAAGGCTGGGGCCCGTGCCCCCGAGGCTGCCGCCCTCTCAGGGTGTCCTGGGCCTAAACGTGGGGTGGGGCCGTCGGGTGGGTGAGGTGGCGCCCTGCGACAGCAGCTGTGACTGTGCGCTGGGCACAGGAGCCAGCTCCTTGCGCTGCCTCGATGGCGCCCGACCTTCCGCGAGATGCGCCCAGTCCCGCGCCCTCGGTTCGACCTCGCGGACGGCCGGAACAAACAGCGCGGAAGCTGGCCACCACCTCCCCGCGCCCGGATCCTTTGCAGACCCAGCGACCCTAAGCCAACGACTCTTACCCGGCCCGGGCTGCGCGGTGCGGGTGGCTGGCTCCTCGGCCCCGGGCTCGCTCACCACCGACTCGGCCTTAGGTTCCGACTGCGTCTGGGGCCCCGGATCCAGCTGCGTCCCCCGCTCACCGGCTGCGTTCGGGCCCCGCTGGTTCACTACATCCCCGCGTGCAAGGTCCGGGCANTCTTACTAGTTTCTCTCTAATCTTTCCCCGACAAAATTCAGTAAAAACGTCTTCTTTCCCAACCCCTGGTCCTTGCCGATCCTCACGTACCCTCCCACTGCACGCCCTTTACCCTCCCCAGCTTCCTCCAGCCCTGGGCTGTTTTCAGAAGCCCGCTTGCCAGACCCCTGCATCGCAGCCTTTTCCAGTCTCGGGCACTAACAGTGCAGGATGCCACCCCCACACCGCCCATACCACCATAAACCCCGGCGGGATTAGTGAGTTCAGGACTACTGAGAGCTGTCTTACTCCATGTCCCACTGGGCTGGCCAGCCTAACTGGGGAGAGAGCTGGGGTTATAGCTGGGAGTCTGTGGGCCGGGTGGGACTTCGGTCTGGCTTGGAACATGCTCCAATATCTGATTAAATATTTGTGCTTCCAGGGAAGAAACGATCCTCTTGCTGCTCTGGCACGGAAGCCTGGGGACCAAAGAGTGAGGAGAGGGAGGGTGCAGTCTGGTCTTGGGTGGGAGACCTTACCCCTCTGGAGGGACTCGGCTGAGGATCACTCTTCACTAGAGCTGCCCGCCTCTCACCTGCCCCAGCCTACAGGAAAGGGCATTAGGGAAAGCGGCCAGCTACTGACTGGCTGAACGGCAGGAGAGGGTCAGGTGGAGAATATCCTGAGATTTTGGAGAAGCTGGCTGCTGATGGGACCACTGCCTCAGGAAGTTTTGAGACCCCCCCAAAGCCTAGGCACCTTTCAGGCCTCTCCCAGGCTGCCAAGCAGGACCCGCCTTTCCCTTTCGTTTTCAGGGGAAGGCGCCAGCAGCCCCGAGGTCCCTATGCCCATTGTAGGGTGATAACATCCGAGTGGGCTCTGGGCACTACAGGGCACAGGAAGTACCCCTGCAGCCACAGATCTTTCTGCTGTGGCTGCGGTAGAGCCCCCGGGATGCAGGTCAGAGGGATGGCAGGCGGCAGCAGCCGAGGGGCGCTAGCGGTCAAGGGCTTAATAGCAGCAGGGTCGACTGGGGCCTAAGGTGGAATCTCCTCCGGTGAAGGGAGAGAGCAGGTCTGAGTGGTGGGCAAGACAAAGTCTGAGCGCGGCCTCAACTTTCAAGGGCTGCGGCAGAGGCGACAGGCACCCTCACCGCGGATCGCGGATCCCCTTAGGCGCGCGCCCGGAGCTTACCCTCACGCGCGGCTCGGTGAGGTTGGTCCACACAGCGATCTCCTCCCGCATGCTCATGTCGGGGTAGCGGTTCCTCTGGAACGTGGCCTCCAGCTCTTGCAACTGCTGGCTCGTGAAGTGCGTACGTTGCCGCCGCTGCTTCTTCTTCTTGGCGGGGTCCTCTGCACCGCCGCAGCCCGCGCCACCCGCACCGCTGTCCTCCGGCCCCTTGGGTTCCCCGCTGCGCTCCTTCTCTGAAGCAAGCAGGATCAGTGGCCAGTCACCTCCGGCTTATGCCCTTTTGCACCCCGTCCCGGCTCCACCGAAGCGCCTGCCTTCAGCGCTGGCAGCCCTCCCTCCAGCCAGGGGCCCTGGATCGTCCCTAGTGGTAAGAGTCCTTCGGGTGCTGGTCCTCAGCAGTCACCTCTGGCCTCGCGTGCCCCGGAGAAAAGCCTAGCGGCCGGGGCCGCGGACCTATGTTCTTGGCCGGGCAGGGCCTGCTCTGGCAGCCTGGCTCAGGCTGCAGCCCAACTGCTGGATGTCAACCACAAAGGTATGGCTTTTGTTTTTGTTTTTTGTGGTCTCTTGGGGGTCTCAATCTGAGATCTCTGCTTTTCTAACTATGATCAAATCCTTCTAGCCTGAAGCTAGCAGGTTGGTGGAGCAAGAGACAGGCAGTGGTCTGTAGCCCCTCCACTTTTTTTCTTCCCAGGGCTGTGTGGGAGTCTCGCTGAGCAGGCACCACACAGCCAGGTTCTCGGCCTTAGCTCCAGGCCTCAAGTTCCAAGGCCCAGAAAATAGCTCCTGGGGCAGCTCGGACGACAGAATCAGTTTAGGTGACCTGGGGCTCTAGCCTCTCTCTTTCAAGCTACACAAAACACATGCAGTCATAGAAATATTGAAACATAAAAAAAGAATTAAAAAATGAAACACAGAAGCCCAGAAAAACTCACAAGCTCTATGCCTAAAAACACGGAAAGGGTCACAAACTCTTAAAAATAGGCAGGTAGCAACACAGAGCAAATGTAAATTAAGAAGCCAGAAACGACGGTGCAAATACACCTCTAACTCCTGTACGCTACGCATGTAAACTTCAGGCAGACACAGGCATTTATTTCTATGGGATTAAAAAAAAATCAATGTACTGTTGCATATAGATATTTTAACCCTTTCCAGTAATGCCCTTCTAGAGATAATTTTTAAATCTTAGGGAAATACAAACACTATAGTTAGATAACTTAAATTTCCAAAATAACACCACAGTGAATGGATTTTGAGAAAAATCGGGAGAAACGCGCCATTTTGGATTGACTTTAAAAAATCTCCTGAAGAATAATGTTTCATTTAGATATTTTAGACTCCAGAGAAATATACCTAGTATAGTAATTCTCTCTGTTTCGAAAAATAAAGCTAAAATTTAAAATTTATCTTCAGATATTTGGTTTTAAAAAGCAATCTGTTACTGTGTATTTCCTGGGTTTTAAAAGTAAAAATCAAAGGCCACGCAACTTTTGAAAACAAAAGTACAGCCCAGCATTGTATTTTAACCAGGGAAACAGAACCCTTCAAAGAAAGTCACTTAGGGATGCAAAACAGAAACAAATAGAGATTAAAAGTGTAGGGGAACACTCAGCGGTGGATTAAGAAATGAACGCAGAAGAGGCGCCCTCGGCGCGGAGAGTGGGGAGCTCTGCGGCGCCGGCGCCGATAGGACGGCGAGTGCGGGAGCCTTTCCGGGACCCTGGAGGCCGGGCCGGGCGGAGAGTAGCAGTGCCACTGCCCGTGCTGCCCACCTCCCGCCCAGCTTGCGGCCCAGAAAAAAGGCTTGAGCTCGGACAAAAAAGCAACGGGGAGGAGGACGTGCCCGAGCCGACTCAGAGCCCTGGCTGGGCAGTCCGGCGGCTCCCGGCTCCCGCGGCGGGCGTGAGGCCGGGATCCCTTGTTTGGGGGGTCCTGCCTGGAGCCGGGCAGCGCCCCTTGGCCCGCTATCGCTGCCCTGACCTCCTTTACTTTAGGTTTTCTTCCCCCTTACCCCCCGCGCCCAGTCTGCTTTCCTGCCTTTCCCCGCCACCCCTTCTCGTCGGTCTCTCCCTCTGAGTCTGTCGCCCGCGATCTGTCGGGGTGTCTGGGCCCCTGTCTGTCTCCCTGGGCAATTTCTCTCGCCCGCCGCCCATTTCCCTCTGGATCTACCGCTCTCCTTCGGCCGGGAGGCGCTAGGTCCCCCAAAGCGCAAACCTGACTCTTTTTCCCGTTCTCTTTGCTCCTGCTCAAGAGGGGCTGTCAGTGTGACCCTCTGGCTGTAGGTTCGTGCCTCTGCCGGTCTCCCTGCGCGTGGGAACCTCGTGGAAGTGCCTCCGTAAAGCGCTAGGCTGCTGCTTCCCAGAGCGTGTAAGTTTCCGCGTTCATCCCCAGGCGGAGAATGGGACAAGGAAGGGTCCTGACGCTTCTGGGGCGTGGAGGGAGCCCGGCCGTGCGGCGCGGGCGGCCAGGCCCTGCCCCCGGCTCCCTGCGCCCTCGCGGGCAGCCGCGCTTACCTGGCAGCTCCGTGTCGGACGACTCGCTGGCGGAGTTCTCGAGCGGCTCGCGGGGGTCGGTGGCGCGGGCCAGGTGGAACGCGGGCCCCATGTCATGCGGCGGCGGCGGCGGCCGGAGGCCCTCCGGCAACCGCTCCAGGCTCATGCCCCCCTTGAAGGCGTCCATGGAGGCGGGACCGCGGCGGGCGCTCCAGGGGCCGGGGCTGGGCGCGCCCGGCCGCCCTGGCTGCGACCTGCGGGGACAAGAGCACAGCGCCTAAGCGGCTGCCTCCCGGGGCTGCCCGAGCCCGCAGCGACGCCGCGCCCGCCCCATGGACCGCCCGGGGCTGCGGGGCCAGGCGGGCGGCAGCGGCCGCGGTTTCTCGCGCCCGGGCGCCCGGTTTCGAGCTCTGCGCTGCGCTCCGGCCGCTTGGGCCTGAGCCGCCCGCCCGGCCCCGGCTCCGGCTCCCGATCCGGGGCCGGTTTCTAAGGCTCCGGACCGCGCCGGCAGAGTCTGTCTTAAAGCGACAGCGCGCACCGCCAGGTTCCAGCAGTCCCTGCGCCAGGGGTGGTGGGTGGGGTGGGCTGGGGTGGGAGGGGGCTGGGGAGGAGGGAGCGAGCAAGGGAGCGCGGGCGGAATCCAGCTCCGAGCCGCCCGCCCTCCTCCTCCCTCCCCCTCTGCAGCCACCTTCCCGCCGCCTCCCCGCCACCCCCACCCCACCCGCGGCCTCGCCGATCCTCTCCCTCCTTCCCCGGTGACACACCGAGTTTTCCCTGGGCCGCACAAAAGAAACGCATCTGGCCTGCAAGTCCCGCGCGGCTCGTGCCCACCTCAAGCCCCAAATGACTTGTTTTGCTAAGAATCAACTCCTGTCTGGGCCGCCTCGAAGTCCCCAGCTTCTGGCGAGAACAGCCCAGGGTGAGTGAATGTGCACCGAGCAGGAGCCTCCCAGCCAGCGCCAGGGCGGGGGCAGAGCCCCGGGCCCGTTCCGGCAGCTCCCAGCGGCGTCCTGGTCGAGGGGCCGTCGGCCCCTCCTTCTTCGGCCTCTTCTCCCGGGACCTGAGCGCGGCTGAGTGACAGCAGCCTGTGCTCTAATGGGCCCCCGGATGCTGCCTCCTAATTAGCTTGGACCCACTCCTCTAGGGCTGCTTCTCGGGCCTCCCCTTCTGCACCGCAGTCAATTTTCCGGGATTGGCATAGAACTGATGGCTTCTAATCAGACGAAACGTTTCTGTTGGCTCCAGGCCTCTGGCGAGTGCAGCAGGAGACCCCAAGAGCCCACCAGGCCCTGCAGCCTCTTCCATAGGGCTGTCTCTCCATTTTTTTGCACCTTCCGCGTCTGACCAACTTGGCCAAGCTCTTGGGCCTTGGCAGCCAAGGGGGTGGGTCTCTGCCCCCTTCAGGGCAGGTTTGAAGTGACCTAGGGCCTCTGCTTTGGCTTCATGGAGCTGCAGGCACCTGGCCTGCCAGGCCAGGTGACTGCAGTTTCCTTACCCTCAACCAAACCTACCCTCTTGGGTTGTGAAGCTTCTCTCCCAGACAGGTAGCTAAGTTGAAACACCAGTGGGCCCTTCATGGACACAGGCAAGGACATTGCTCTCCCCACCCCTAAGAATGATCCCCTCCTTGAGTCCTACTTCAGTGAAGTTTGTTGAAGGATTTTGCTCAACAATTGTTAACTGGCTGAGACCACAGAGTCTTGAACAAATAGGTGATAGCTGGGGTGGTAAGGTGTGACCCTGACCTATTCCTCTGGCTACAGTTGGACCCCAGGCTGCCCTGTGCCCCTCATCTGCTGACCAGCTTTACCAGATAGGCGCAGTGCTGGGCTGGGCTGCCGCCTGGGGGAGAAGCACTGCATTACTGTCCAGGCCCAGCACCTCAGCACAGGACCTAGTGCCTACTCACCTCCCCACCAGGGGCTCTGCTTGGGACTGCCTGTGCAGGCTCTCGGCATCTGGGGTGTTCTGCAGGCACTGCCTTCAGGCTCTCACTGTGGTTCCCCATCAGAGGGAGGCACCCCAGTCCCGGGCTGAGCTCTTTGGTGGGGATTGCAGGGGCAGGGGCAGGCGCAGGATGGAACCAGGCCTGCCTCTCATTCCCTTGGTCTCAGCTCAAGGCCTCCAGCTCTAGGCCCTGGGGAGAAGGCACGGTCTACAGCGCCTGGCCCACTCTCACTGGGTACCTGTGACCACAGTGGTCAGGGTCAGAGGCTGAGGCCAGAGGGAGGATGCATCCTATGAGTTTGGGCTGGAGATGCTCAACTCCTGCCCTTTCTCCACAAAGGGATGTTTCTTAAAGATAAAACCCCCAGGATGCAATAGTCTTGGTGTGTGTGTGTGGGGGTGGGGTGGGAGGGTGGCAGGAGTGGGACATTGGGAAAGTATGATTGCCCAGCATTTGCCCTTAGCCCCATCTTTTGCCACATTCTTGGCCGAGTCTACAAAACCAGCAGATAGCTCCTTTCCAGGAGGAAGCCAGGTGCTGCTGAAGCCAGCGAGCACACCTTCACATACCACCTTCAGCGCAGCTGCTTTTCCTGGGCAGCACAGTGTGCCACCTAGCCTGCCTGGATACAGCCAGGGCACAGGAGCATGCATGAGCACATGTGTACTGCATACACACACAGGTGTGCTGTGTACACACAGACACAGATATGGACACGGCACTCATGTATGGCAGTGCTGAGTATAGTCACATATGTGTACACAGAGCCATGCCTCTGGGTCTCAGAATGCTGTTGATGTTTGGCACAAAATCAGTTTGATAGGAGGTGTGTTCTAAGTCCTCCAAGTGTTAGGCCAAGGTGAGAAGCACAGTACCCCCTAGGTGGGGACAGGGAATGAATGGTCTGCCTATGGGCTTCTGGAAATTGAAGGTCATGCTCTCCATTCCCCAGAGGGTGCTCAGAGTCCTGGGGACTGTTTTGTGACTCTGCAGCTCTAGTTATTCATTTTGAGGGGCTTGCATCTCTCATTGTTGATTCATTTAATGCAGTTATTGAGCACCTGCTGTGTGCCCCTCCGGATCTAAGCCTCAGGCAGTGCTCCAGGCCATCACAATAGGCCCTGTATTTGGAAATCTTGTTGCTTGCTGGGTGGATGGAAAGGCAATTAAACTATTGTGGGTGAACCTGTGCCCCAGAGATGGGCTGAGATTAGTGGGGACTGTCCAGGAGAGTCTGTTCTGCTGGACTGTGGTGGCACTGAATGAGCAGGGGGGTGAAGAAGTGAATAGTCGAGAGGAGGCCCTGGCCTGATTGTGGGTGTTGGCTGGAGAAGGGACCTGCGTGCTTTGCTTTCTCTCTCATTTCCCCACCACACCCTCCCTCCACTGGTCCCTATTCCACACAGGGTAGGGGCTTCTTCACACTCACAGATATGTCACAAATACACAGGATAGGAGGCAGCTCTCTTTCAGGACTAACAGCAGGGGTTCAGTGTTCCCCTAGTTTTGCTGTGTGACCTTGGGCGAGGCTTGATCTGCATTCAGTTCCCAGGTCTGACATGGGACACAGCAAACCTTGTTTGCTGCTTCAGCTTCCAGCTCACTTGACAATGGGACATGAGGAGAGGACAGAATGGGGCTTATTGGAGCTGGACCCATGTGTGCTAGTCCTCATTCCTCCCGACACACAGAGCTAGCAGTGATTCTGTGACTTTCGGGGAAATTAAGGGCTTTGAGTCCTGGCTTGGTTGAGCAGAGGAGCCTGGTGTGGTGGAGGTTGAAGCAGTCACCATAGGGACCCTTCCTGAAGCTGAGCTCACTCAAAACAGACCCTGTGCTGAGGAATGGTTCAGTAATTTTATTTGGAATGGGTGGTTGGAGGGTCCTCATGCAGGGCATCTTCCTCCCACTTATGGGGGTACCTTGCCCTAATCTTTGCACCAGAATCAAGGGATTTTAGGAAGAGGGAAGGAATGTGCCATGGTTTGCCCCTGGGGCCATCCATGGCTCTCCGGGAAATTCCAGCCCTAAGCCTCTTAGGCCTCCAAGAAGTTCAAACTAGAAAACCCAGTTTTGGGAGTACAGCCGGGACCACCTACCTACCTCCTTCTGTCTGATCTAACACCCCCTCCCCAATTAAAGCTCTTATTTCTTGGAATATAAGCAATTACAGGAAAGGGAGGAAAAGGGTGCTTAGGTAGCTGCTGGGAACCATCTCACTGGGTTCTTCAGGCTTCCAAGGACCCGAGCCTGAGGCTTCCTGTCATTTGGGGGTTCCCTGCCCCGTCCCGGTGGGGAGAGCTAGGATGTACTCGGGCAGTGGGGCGCCTCTGGCAGCATGGAGGTGTAACTCTCAGTTCAGCAGCTGGCCGGGCCCATTGCTCTCTGGCGCAGGGCTCACCAGATTTGCTGTTTGTTAGATGGTTCTGGAGAATGGCTGAGGTGCAGGGTAGCGGGGTGGAGAGTCGGGGGAGAGAAGGCTCGGAAAGTGGCAGCTCTGGTCACACAACTGGGGAGCAGAGGGTCAACTTGTGCTGTACCACAGCCTCCTCTTCTCAGCAGCTGCTTTCCCGAGAGAAGGACACACTCAGTTGGCTGGAAGGCCAAACCGAGTTCTGCCCCTACTTGCGGAGTCCAGTCAGCCTGGTCTCCACGCCCCGGCCCAGCTCTTTTCTTTTCAGAGCAAAGCAGTCTGGGGAAGGGGCAGAGGGCCAGCAAGCCCGGCTCCTGTGCTGCCCTGCTGCCTGCACCTTTCACCATTATTAGACCCGAGTCCTTCGCCAAGTGGACAGCAACCTGGGATTGCCTCTCTCTGGCCCTGGTGGTTGTCAGAGGCCACTGGGATGCTAAGAGAATACCCAAGCCTTAGTTTCTCAGAAAAATTGATTCAAATATTTTTAGATTCAGGGAATTACTAAATAAGGAAACCTTGTTATCAGGATTCCAGCCTGGGGTTCCCATCACTGCCTGCCATCCCGGCTTTGGGGGCGCTCACTTTACCAGGACCGAATCGGCTCAGATTTAGGTGGACGGTCAATTTCAGAATTCCGAGACCCGGTTCTAGAGAAGCGGCTGTGTGCTCGGTCACCCTACGTCAAGTAAACCCCGGAGAGGCTGCGGGAATATCTTCACTGGGTTTTGCAAAGAGCATTTGGGGGGTTCTCTCAGCGTAAGGGAAAGGGCGACCCGTGCGCGGCGAGGCGGCAGGACGCCGTGGGCTACGGCCGCCTCCGAGCCCTGCGGCGGGACGTCGGGGTACGCGGCGAAGAGAGCCGGGGTCCCGGCCGATGTCTGCCGCTTTGCTGAGGCATAGGTGCCCGAACGAACGAATTAACGAACGAATGAAGTGGTTTCGTTTAGGAAAAAAACCCCTCCTGATGCGAAGCTAAGGCCTAAGTCCCCAGGCAGGTAGAGGGGCCAGTACTTTCGCTCGTGCTGGGGCCCCCATTGCTGGGCACAGCCTGGAGCGGCGGGCGGCCCCCCTGCCTGCTCTTTCCCACAGAGGGTCCCAGCGGCCCGCACCGCCCCCAGGGGCTGGGAAGGGGGCCCGGGCTGTGCCCCTTGCAAGGCTGGGGCCCGTGCCCCCGAGGCTGC